TCAGCCGAAACGAGGTCGGATATTTCGTGAACTACGCCAACCTGAATGTTGTATCAAAGCCAAACGATGGCGGAGCAACCGAAATCAGCTATCGTCTTCAGGACACTTCGGCCTACGAATCTCTCCATCATGCATTTTCTTACGGAATGAAAGTCCCAAAACATTTGCACCATAATTGAGCTGTGTATTGTCACGTCCCCGTGATAAAATTCAGCTGTTCGTATCCAGATTACTCAGTGAAGCGATACCATGCAGATCCTTTGTGCGGAAACATTCTCCAAACATGAATATGCTAAATGTGGCTTCATGACGAATTTGTCAATGATGCTCGCAATGTTGAGATGCCCGATCGTTGAGTGATTGTTTTTAGTTTAGCTACAGTCTTGTTTTTTTTCATAAATTCACTCTACGCCTAATCAAATAACTCCAGCTTATCCAAAATGCGATTCGCCAATGCAAGTAACTACCATTCCACTAGCCTTGGCAATAAATTAAAAATTGTCTACCGATTTAATCATTGTAGCATAAAATTAATCTTCTTCACCCTAATTACTCTGCATTTTAAGCTTTCCTTATGCTCCACCCTCATTTTCCGGATAGTAGAACTGTTTAACAAAGCTTTCCTATGCTAACATACAGCTCATATGCATTTTTGTACAGTGGCAATGCATGACACTTTAGAGGCTCATTTATGTTTCTATCAAATATGACAGCTCAACTGGAATCACTTTATCATTTTTCATCTAGACTACTCGTAAACCCATATCGTCTATTGAAGTGAAATCAATAGTTTGCGGTTATTTCAAAGTTGGCTTGAATGGAGAGCTTCAACTTACTATGAATCTCCCACAACCTTTTCCAAAAATTCGTCATCTTCCCATCTTTACTGTACTCTGGGCAATATCCATCTTTCCCCACCACTGCAAGCGGGATTATAGGCTCAGGGCGTGTGAGTTGATATAAACAAATTGCCTATGGAATGCTTCACTTATTTTTTCTGCATACACATGAGTATATGTAGGCGCTGAATTTGGAACAAAAAAACTTCCTCTAACCTGGCTATACTTGTGAAAATCCTCCTTTGAATGCGTGGGTTGGTGATGTGACGCAATTAGAATCTTTTTTGATTCGGCTTTACCACAATTAGTCTAAACTTAGGAGTCGGGAATGTGTGAAATGGGCAGAATGTAGCATGAAATAAAAAATCTGTCCCTTGGTGCTGATTGGTCCATTCCCGTTCACGCAGCCAGCCAATCAGAAGCAAGATAACCCTCACTTGACACTATCAAATGATCAACTTCTCGTCAGTCCTGGGCAGTTTAGCCCAGTTGATGCAGTTGTCGATCTTTGGTGTTCTGGACGGCCTGATTTGTATACTTTGGCAGCCGAGAACATCTGCTTATTCCCCGACCCCGTGTTGGTATTTTCACTTATGGCTAGAATCCTCAGTTTAGGTTAGTATTCTCCCATTTGTCTAAGCATAAGTATCGAGGGCATTGTATGGCAGTTATCGCCCAAATTCTACAACCACCACACCTTCTTACATGCAACATCGAGCTCCTGCATGGTAAAGTCGATTTGTACAGGCGTTTAGATTTCCATTTTCAGACTCATTTCTACCCTTGTGCTTTTGTCGTGACAACAATTCTGGCCGCCAAACGACGACCCTGAGCCGGTCGCATCAACATCAGCATCAGTAACAACAACAAAAACAACAACAACACCTTTTAGTTGATGCGGTTGATCTCTTTCCTCCTGTCAGGCAGTGGGCCGGCTCGTTCATGACCAGATGTTTGCTCGAGTTTGACGTATTTCCTGCCAACAGTGCGACAATTCGTGGCGTCCACCGGCAGTAACTGCATCATCACGAGCCCAGCCCGACAAGTGGGCCAATGGCCGACCCTTCCAGGATGCTCTAGGCCCAGCCTCGTACATTTCGCATGCGCGCATTGGGAACAGCCGGACGGGTCGTCTGATGAGGTTGCCATGCACTCGCGAGTGTCGAGTGTTGCGCTCGGCGCACGTCTCCTTTCCGTCCAGGCCAACTGGCCACCGAGCGCCGGAGCCACCGCCGCTTTCATCTCGCTGGTGGTGATACAGCCCGGCCTCACGACCATTCCGGTGGCTGACGTCAGTCTGGAGGCTCCTCCGGGCAGGACAGACAGAAACGAGACGCCAGAGACGGCCGGTGAACCGTTGGCCTACTCGGCTCCGGGAGCCTGGCCGGTCTGGCAGAGCAAGCTTCACGCAAGCTATCTCACCGTGCTCGGTAGATGGTGCCATGTTGTTTTACATGTTTACATTTATTGCCTTCTTTGCCTCCCAGCACAAATCATAGCCTCATTGTTGCCGAATAACTAAGTAACCCATTTGTGATATGAAACTGTGAGACAGGTTTTAGGGCATAAATTGTCGTCTGGAGATGCTTCAGACACTTCTGAATGTCTGTAGAAAAACTGGCTTTCGAAGCTATCCCTAATAGTTTGTTTGAAGAGGCTAGCGTAAAGCATGGTGTCTTCTGCTCTGGCGATATCTTTCACATGACGCGCGAAAGCTAAACAAGGATTCACCGCAAAGTGTGGAGAGATTGAAGATATGAAGACCAATAAGTTTTGGCTTCTGGTATGGTCGCAGTCACCTGCGATTTATAGAATTGGGTTGACCTCGTTGTCGCAACTTGGTCTTGTTGTCAGAGCGATTTAGTAGAACGTACCTTATCCGAAATCGTCTGCCATAGTAGTTGTCATCATTCCCAGCATCAGACAGTGGACTTGGTACATTTTAAAACGTTTCACCGGCATCGTAGTCGGCATCATCAGTGAGTGCTTCCGTTCTCCGCAATCAGCTACGAACTCGTCAAAGAGACAAGTTAAGCCAATCCGTCGACAAACGTTCTGCCGAAAACTGATACACTATCACTTCTCTTTCTGTCCTGGCCTATCTATCTACTCTTTACTCTCTTATCCCACGTTTGAGAATGCACCAAGTCCATTGTCTGATGCTGGGAATCATGACAACTATTATGGCAGACGACTTCGGACTAGGTGCGTTCTAC